TGTATTGATGGGCACTTGCGTTGTTTCTGCATCTTTGCAATTGTCAATTGTGCTGCTATAAACATTCAGGTGCAGGTGTCTTTTTGATAGAAAGTCATTTTTTCCTTTGGGTAAATACCCAATAGTGGGCTTGCTGGTTCAAGTGGTAGTTCTACTTTTAGTTCTTTGAGATTTCTCCATACTACTTTCCATAGAGGTTGTACTAGTTTGCAGTCCCACCAGCAGTGTATGAGTGTTTCTATCTCTCTACATCCATGCCAGCATTTGTTGTTTTGGGCCTTTTGGATAAAACCCATTCTCACTGGAGTAAGGTGATATCTCATTGTGGTTTTGATTTGCATTTCCCTGAAGGTTAGAGATGTTGGGCATTTTTTTCATATGTTTATTGGCCATTAGTCTATCTTCTTTTGAAAAGTTTCTTCTGTTCACATCTTTTGCCCACTTTTTAATGGGATTGTTTGATTTTTTCTTGCTGATTTGCTTGAGTTCTTTATAGACTCTGGTTATTAGCCCTTTATCGGATGTGTAGCATGTGAATATTTTCTCCCATTCTGTAGGTTGTCTATTCGCTGTATTTATTGTTTCCTTGGATGTGCAAAAGCTTTTTAATTTAATCAATTTCCATTTGTTTATTTTTGTTGTTACTGTGATTGCTTTTGGGGTCTTCTTCATAAATTATTTGCCTAGGTCAATGTCTATAAGAGTTTTCCCAACATTTTCTTCTAGAATTACATTTAGATCTTTGATCCATTTTGAGTTAATTTTTGTATACAGTGTTAGGTAATGTTTCAACTTCATGCTTTTGCATGTGGATATCCGGTTTTCCCAGTGATATTTGTTGAAATAATACAGAGACAACTTAATGTCCATCAGCAGATGCATGGATAAAGAAAATGTGATGTAAACATACATTGGGATATTATTATTCCTTAAAAAAGCAGGCAGTATGTGACAACGTGGATGAACCTTGAAGACATTATGCCAAGTTCTTTCCTCCTTGAATGGTCTGGCATCCTGTAGAAAATCATTTGACCATATATGTGAGGGTTTATTTCTGGACTCTCTATTCTATTCCATTTGTCTATATTTCTGTCCTTAAAAATTACCACACTGGTTTGATTACTGTAGCTTTGAAGAAATCAAGAAGTGTGAGTCTTCCAACTTTGGTCTTCTTTTTCAAGATTGTTTTGGCTATTCAGGGTCCCTTCAGATTTTGTATGAATTTTAGGATGGGTTTTTCTACTTCTGCAAAAAAAAAAAA